CAAGGGGGCCGAGGCGGCAGAGCTGGTACCTCCCACCTCCTTGGGCTCTTGCCCTTTGGGAGCAATGCCCAGCTGGCCACAGCTGTTCCTGCTGCCCACCAGTAGAGATACGTGGAGGGCAGGCTGGGCCACTCCTAGAGCTCTGTCCTTTTGGCAGTTGGGGATGGGCCTTTGTGCCTGGTGTTGCTTGCTTTGCTGTTGGCTTGGGCAGAGTTGTTGGTTTGTGAGGGAATGCAGGGCGGGAACACAGGGCGGGAACTCAGTGCTCCAGCTCCTCCTACAGCAGCCTCCTGGGCTCCCAATCCTTGTGCCTCCTCACCACATTCTCTGCCCATCTGTACAATGGGCTGATCTGTGGGTGCCCGAGAGGACTGGTTGGCAGCTGTAGCCAGGGGCTCAGCAGCATGTGGTGCCCAGGACAGTGCTTCATTTAATCTCTGGGGAAGTTCTAGATTCAGCTTCCCAGGCTCCCTACCCACCATGGGCTAAGCATGACGACTGGGGCTACCACACTTGGGAGAAGTATCAGCCATAAGGGACTTGGTGGGGAGGTGGTTCTGAGAGGGAAAACACTAAGAAAACCAACTCACATTCTGTATTTGCTCAGAATAAACAGTCCCTGCCTGCCTTCCCTAAAGCCTCCAGAATCCCCTTTGCAGGAAAATTTCAGACATCCCTCTCCCTGCCTCTCAGAGGAGCTAGGCCAGTGTTCCTAAGATTTATCATGATTGACTGTGACTAACAGAAACAGGAGTTTTTGGTCACTCCTATTTCTGTTTGTTGGGTTTTCCCCAGGCCCGACCCAAGGAGACTGATAGAGTCAGGGGTGAGTCCCGGAGTAGGACCCACACCTTCAAAGGAAACTCCAACCCCACCAGCATTTCCCTTTGCTTGCTATGGGAAGGAAATGAGGAGGGGCTAACGGGCTAGGGGTACAGAGCAGGAAAGGGAAGGGAACCTCTGTGACCAGAGCCCACTCCCTCCTCCTTGGCTTCACTGGGGCTGACAAGGGCGGGGGGTGGGGGCGGAGGGGGAGTCAGGAAGCCTTGCTGGTGGGACTGAGCCCTTGCTCCCACAGAACCCAGGAGGGAGTTAGGCACTGCTCAGGGCTCTATGCCTGACCTCAAACTGGCAGTAAACCAGACCAGCCCTGCTGGAGAAGCATCAAATCCACCCCTTTCTGCTGCTTCCTGTTATAGGTTTTTATTATTAGATTTCTGGCTGGTTCCTCTGATTTAGGAATCAGTCTCAGAGTTGCTTTCAGTGTGAGTTCATCTTCCCCTTCTGCTTCCATCTCTCTGGGGTCTTCCCCTCCCTCCTCAAGGATATTGGTATTTAATTGTCTCCTAGTCTTAGGGATAGGAGGGATGAGGGGGTGAGGGTAGGTATAAAGGATTATTCTCTCCCAAGTGTTGAGAAGCAGTGCTGAAGGAGGGATGGAGATAGAGATACCCAGAAGCAAGAGGGGTCCTTGGGATGTTAGAACATTACACCAGATTCTCAGGAGGAAGAGGAATGAAACTGTTGAACACCCACAGTGTTCCAGACACAAATAGACATAAAACATTTATCATTTAATCCTCCGAAAGCCCCATGAAGTAGTGAGATTATCTCTGTTTTATGGATGAGCTCTGAAGAGCCCAAAGTTGATCTTGGGCTCTCTGACTCCACAATTGGTGCCTCTGTTCCAAGATAGCTGTACCCCCTTTCTGTTCAGCAAGAGTTTCACTGAGGAGTTAGCAAGAACTTAGCCTAGCTTCTGCCTTAAGATAGCCCACAGTCTCTATGGAACCACTGAACAAAACTGTCAAGGAAACACACCTTTGACTGAGACTGGAACATGTCAGGTTTGTTCCTTGGCTGTCCCCAGAACTCAGGAAGTTGTCCTTCCTCAAGACATCAGAGACCTGCTGGACTCACACACGTTATTGATTAGAGGCAGAAGCCCTAATGCCTTTGTCTGGCAAGGAGAGAAACCCGTGGTGGGTGGCTCCTACCCAGTAGCCAGGGACGGGGACGGAGTTCTTGTGGGAGTGCCGGAGGCTGAGGGAATTCCCCCACCCACTTCCTTCCACATTGCACTTGGGCCCCACAGAAGCAGAGAAACTGGCATCACTGTCTAGAAAGTGCCACAGAAAGCTGTAGACTGGAGGTTGTGGGCCTGTGGTCAGAGCTGATTTATGCTTCTGCCACCAGTGTCCATACTCCAGAGGGCCATCTCTCCTGGGCGTTAAGGTTTGACCAGGTCCCTGATGTGCCTCTTCCGGGCTCTTAGGCTAGGGGTCCCAAAGCGGGTGACTTATTTCCATCTCCAAAGCCCTGGGGGCACCAGACATTTCCTCCCCAGTTCACCTGGGGAGGTGGGGAAGCGTGAGGCCGCAACAGCTGACAGTGGGTGGCTGAGGAAGTTGGTGTAGACAGGATGTGATGTCTCCCACAGTAGTGACAACCACCCCCCACCCCGCCCCGCCCCACCACCATCTTCTCCGCCAGTCACTTTCTTCCAGGGGAGACAAATATTTTCTATTTCCATGGCATAGACTTGGGAGAAACAGGGAGAAGACAATGAAGTGCTCAAGATGTGCACAGAGCCAGAACCAGGCCTGAGGTCTGTTTCTGCTCTGGTTTCACTTAGGCTTAGCTACCAGCAGCCTGGCTATGGTTAAGGGGAGACATTGCTCTGAGCTCACCTTCAGGCTTTGTGTCCCTGTTTTCTTGTGGCCTCTTGTCCCTGTCCCCCTCTCACACAGACATGCTGATATTGGCCCTTAGCCTAGTAGTTGCAGAGAGAACATTCAGGATTGTATTTGCCCAGTCAGCCATCCCTACTGCATCAGCAGTAGGGGGATTTGATTAGCCCTTCTTTCCTATAGGAGTTCAGGCAGACTCACAGGGCAGCAGAAACCTTGAGGAAGGGTGTGATGGGCGATCCTCTTCGCCTTCTTTTCTTCTCTCCCCTGCCTCATTTGCACTAACCACTGAGCAAAAATCCCAGCCATACTCCTTTTTCAAACTGTAGTGGATCTGGGCCCATTACTCAGAACCAGGATGTCTTAACCTTAGGTTTACTATCCACTTACTTTCCACTCGGTGCCTATCATGGTATTAGACATTATCAGGGGTTGGAGACCATATGAAGAGACACAGTCCATTCTGGTTAGGAGAGTGTATAACTAGTTTAATAGTATGTGTGTAGGTAAATGTGTAATAGAATAGGTCTAACAGAAATAAATGATATTTAAGGTTTTTCTTTCAGTTTCTTAGAAAATGGAGGGCCAACTCCCAGGATACTCCCACGTCTTCTGGATTAATGGAGGGCCTGTGTGACTCCTCAGGATCATGGGTGCACACATTTTGTGTCTCGGGGAATGAGCATGTCAGGAAGTAGGCAGATGTACACCCAGTGGTCACACTTGGATGACCAGGGAGTTAGAGCTGAACTTGGAGCAGTAAGTAAGGGAGAGAAAGATGAGAGGAAGGCCTTCCAGGTGGCCTGCAGCGTGCTGGGGGAAAAGGCCGGATTTGTGGGAAGTCACATGGGTTAGGTAAGAGATATTTGATTCAGGAGTATGGGGTGGGGGGGCAGTTGCAATGATCTGCCTTTAGAGGTAAGGGCTGTGACCTCCAAAAAAGGCAGCCACACTGGTTAGAAGAGAAGCTTGGCTGGATGGGGGTAAAAGAGGGGAAAGTAGGGATGTTGGCTTGGGTGGGACTAAACCATGGATGCCTTGGGTTTCCCTCACTCCGTACACTTTTCTTTATTCATTCAGCAAACAGTAGTGAGTAAAATAAAATGACTCCTGGTCTGTCCTTCCATATTCTAGTTTAGAGTGTCTTTCAGTAAGGAAGTGGGACATTTTATTGTGTCTTGATTAATTGAGAGGTATGTCATAAGTAATTTGCTACTAATAATTAAAGTATTGAAATTTTGTAAATTATTTCCTTAAAAAATGAGCAGTTATCTTCATGCTAAGGTCCTTCTCATGCACTTGGATCCTGGTATGGAGAAAAGGAGTAGACTTGTAGCATCTATGTAGGCTATGGCTGGTTCAGGATTCACCCATGGTTGTGCACCATGCAGGAAGGCCACCCTTCCCTTAGGCTGAGAGGGAAAAGCAGATTGAAAGTTGCTGCTTTAGGGCTGCCTGAGTGGCTCCATCAGTTGAGCATCTGACTCCTGATTTCAGCTCAGGTCATGATTTCACGGTTCGTGAGTTTGAGCCCTATGTCGTGCTCTGCACTTACAGTGTGGAGTCTACTTGAGATTTTCTCTCTCTGCCCCTCCACCATTTGTGTTCTCTCTTTGAAAATAAATAAATAAACATTTAAAGAAAAAGAAATGTGTTACTTTAGACAGGTGGCTTTCAAACTTTTTTGCCTTGTTCCATGTTAAAAAACACATGTTATGGCATGACTTATGTGTGTGCATATGTATTTGAATATACTTAAAATATGAAAGAAACAGGGGCGCCTGGGTGGCTTAGTCGGTTAAGCATCCGACTTTCGCTTAGGTCGTGATCTCGCGGTTCGTGGGTTCGAGCCCCGCGTCGGGCTCTGTGCTGACTGCCAGCTCAGAGCCTGGAGCCTGTTTCAGAGTCTGTGTCTCCCTCTCTCTCTGACCCTCCCCTGCTCACGCTGTCTCTTTCTCTCTCTCCTAGAAATAAATAAAAATATTAAAAAAAAATATGAAAGAAACAAAAGTTTCATGAAACACTGCAGTGATCTGGTATCTTCTAGCCTATTCTATTTTAATCTGTGTGTTTTCATTTAAAATAAAGTTAATCTCGGCCCAGTCAATTGGAAAACATTGCTCAATCAAACTGAACTAAATATGAAGGGGAGGCAGAAGAACTGTCCTGCCTCTCTGAGCCTTCCTTATCTGCCACAGAGTGTCAGGGTGAAGCCTGGGGGTCCAGGAGGGAAAAGGTATGCGTGCTCTAGCCTTTCTCTCCTCTGGGTGCAGGGAGCTTTCAGCCCGTTGACTCAGGTTCTCTCCTCAGAGCTCCATGAACCTGCCTCCTGACAAGGCCCGGCTCCTGCGGCAGTATGACAATGAGAAGAAGTGGGATCTGATCTGTGACCAGGTATGGGGTTTGGGGCAAGTCCAGAAGCAGGGGTTGTGTCCTGGGCCAGACAAGGCAGCAGGACCAAGGCACTGACTGCAGCCTTGGGGTCCCTCGAGAAACCCTGGCCTGGGCTTCGCCACGGTTTATGTTTGCTCCCTGTTCCAAGAGGACGCTCCCAACAGAGCCAGGGCTAGTAGGCCAAGTTCCTCTCTAACTCCTGCAAAGAACTGTCTTGATTTCTTCCTGAGGGACAGTAGCCCAAAGGAAGTTTGTGTAAGTCTGGCTGTCTGTCTGTCTGAAGAGGAGTTGGGTAGTTTTCCCAGCAGAGCCTGTTTTTCTGCCTTTCCTCAGGGTGAGGTCGCTGCCTGGCAGGGTAGTCCAAAGGACCGTTTCTTTTTCCCTCTGCCCGAGACCTGCCACATAGCACTTTTCTGATTATTTACAGACCTCTGGGAATGAGCAGACCCCTCTTCCTAGTCTTCTGTTCCCAAATCTCAGAACATGAGGCTAGAAAGCTCCCCTACATGAATAGTGTTTTGAGCTGGAAGAGAACATAGAGATTACTTATTCTCAGAACCAAGAACCAACACCCATGGCCTGGTTCTTTCCCTTGCACACATTTGGAAATCACAGGTCATGACTTTCTGAACTCAGATGGTCCAGTCTATACAGCCAGGATAGTCCACTTTTACTTCCTTACCTCCTGGGGTATAGAAGCATCTGGCACAGAGTGTAGACAATGTGCTTACCCAGCACTTCGTCTTCAGCTTTGTCACAAATTTTTTTTTTTTCAAACACTGAGCAGAATCATAATAGCTAACGTTTATTAAGTACTTACAGCAGACCAAGGACTTCATATATACTGAAATATCTCATTTAGTCCTCACAAAAATGCTCGAGGAAGGTACTGTTATGTTTTATGGATGAGGAACCCAAGGCTCAGTACCTTGCTTGTCACTTGGAGCCAACTCTGTCTGTGCTATTATTATGCTCCACAGTCCCCCAAATCATGCTGCTTGACCTAAGGTAGAATTATGCTTCAGAGTTCCCAGCCTAGGTCCCCTCCTCTCCAGGGATGGCCTGTTTCCATGTGTTCTGCATTAAGTGGAACTGGTGAGCATGGTGAGTCTGTCTGCTTGGGGCTTGCACAACAGTAGTTGGTTGGTACTGAGTTTCTTTAATTGATAATCCTTCAGTCTTTTTTAGGTCACATAATTTCAGCATTTCTCAAATTTTTCTTTGTTCTTTCATTTTGTGTTTAGGTTCTATTTCCTAACATTATATCATTCTCCTGAACCCTCTGCAGCTCCTCTACCCCCCAACTCTTCAGATATTAGCTGTGAAGGCCCTAACAGGACCAAAATGCTTAAGAGTTTTCCTTGAGTTTTCTCTTGGGTCAGATATGGGGGTTGGGCTAAAATGGAGAGGGTATGGTTCTGTGCCCTGTGTGGAGGGGAGTGAGGGATGACCTCACCAAAAGCAGGCTTCAGCAGTTGGGGTTGCCTGAATTGTCATGGTCTGGGGCCTGGGCAAGGAGCAGAAAGTGTGTTTGCAGCCCTGAATGTGTTAGTCCTGTGAAGCCTGTCTGGTCCCAAGTCTGGGTTTTGGGGCTGGCTCCTCTCTTCATGGCCCTCCTAATCCCAGCCCATCAGTTAGCTAGGCAGTGGGCAACATTTCTCAATTGTATCTCTCTTTTGGGTGCTGTTCTCAGCTCTGTAATCCCCACATCTTATCAAGCAGCAGGCTCTTAAAATAATTTTCGGCATAGAAAAATATTTTAGGCTCGGAGATCACTAATTGGAGAAAGGGAAGATGGCAATAGATGGGAAGCACCTGAAGATAAGGAAGAGAACCTATGGTTTGAGTGATTTTAAGGGCCAGGTGACAACTTTAGGAGACTAGTCCCCTCACACTGGACACTGTGAGTGTTCGATTTCCTCAGCACTCTACTCAGAACTCTGGACATCTGTGCGCACACATGTGTTTCCCTCACAGGAACGGTTCCAGGTGAAGAATCCTCCCCATACCTACATCCAGAAACTCCAGAGCTTCTTGGACCCCAGTGTAACTCGGAAGGTGAAGTGTGAGGCAGGGAGGCCCTCCCTTGCTGTCCCTTATAGTTCTATGGGGTTTTGGGCACAAACCTTTTGACTTGGGGTGGGATATTTGCTTCTGAGCAATGGGCGTTGGGTTGCTGGATTTGGAGGCCATGGGTCCGGAGTGGCTGGCTAATAGCAGAGGGAAGGCTTATAACTGCTCTCTTGTATCCCTTCCTTTTCCTTTTCTGCCCCTTTTGTTTGTTCTGTAAAGTTGGATTGGGGGCCTCCAATAGTGACAGGAAATTCCATGTTTACAGAAGTTCAGGAGGAGAGTGCAGGAGTCAACCAAAGTACTGAGGGAGCTGGAGATCTCACTTCGTACCAACCACATTGGGTGAGTCCGAATCGGCCATCAGGATCTGGCGTCTTCTGAGGATGATTTGCCTGTTTACCTCCCTACCATGATGCACAATTGCCCTCGAATAGCATTGGTTCACCAGAGCTTCAGACTGTTCTTTTTCTGGTTTTTCTCCCTTTCAGCTCTGCCAGCCTCTGACTGGATGCTGCTGGCAAGCGTGGGGCCTCTCCTGGGGTCTTTAGCCTGTGACTTTGAGTAGAAGACATTCCCAAAGATGCTGAGACTAGAGTCTGCCTGTGGCCTGGGGCTGGGCCAAGGGAGGCCCAGAGAATGCTAGGAATGGGGGAGCATATTACATCGGGTAGCTGAGACCTTGTTCCTGGACTGTTTGGTGCCCAGAAGATTATTTTCTTGATTACAAGACAATCTTAGTTCATAAGCAAAAGAAGCTTCCTAGAGCACCAAGAAAGAAGATCTAAGGCAGTGGGGGCCAGGAATTGAATGTCTTCTGTATCTATAGAGCCTGGTATTGCCAACCTATTGATGGGGCCCCTGGGAACTTGTATGAGTCTTGTTTTCTAGTCTCTGAGTGGGGAACCAGAACTTGCTCAACAGGCAGGCTAATGCATGAGATACAATGAAAGATGGCAGTGGTCTCGGTTTTATAAAACCATAACCAGTCAGAGTATATGTAGTGAAAGTGAGAGAGAGAGAGAGAATGAGAGGGAGTGTGTGTGTGTGTGCGCGCGCGCACACACACATACACACACAAAGGATAGTGAGGGATACCCGATGTTGAGGTGCAGGAAGGGCTACAGTCCTGACCGAAGGGCCTGGCACAACTGTTGGGAGCTTGCATGAGTGAGAAGTTGAGCCTGGGGCAGGGGGTGGGGGAGGCTGGGCAGGTGCCATCTCCAGGGTCCTGGGCTTCCTGAGAGCAGAGGTGGAACGAGCCAGATGACATCATCTGTATTTCCCCTCCTGTCTGCAGCAGCCACCCACTTGTTCACCCCAGGCCAAGTGTGCCTGGGGCTCTTATAGAGGCTACCTGTTTGTAGCCAGCTGCTGCAGCCATCACAGGGAAAATGGCAGAGGAGAGAACAGGAAAGGGATAGTTACTGGCCTTGGGAACTGTGCCTGGTAGCCAGAATTGGCTCCTACACCTCATTCACAAACTGAAATGAAAGCTGACATGCTAGGAAACTAAGCCTCCAGCTTTATCTGGTGAATCCTCACAGAGGAAAAGAGTGGCAGGGCCTCATCAGCTACCCTGTGTGTGCAGACACGAGTGAAACAGATGGCAGCTCTGAACGCCACCTACCGCCCAGCACCCTACCACAGGGCCTTCTCCTCCCCTCCCCTCCCCTCCCTCTCAGGCCCGTCTTTCTTTCTGAGTAAGTCTTGCTGCATGAGGATGGGGGCCTGTTCTTCTCAGGAAAGGGCCACAGAGCAGTGTGCGACACTCCCTTCTGCTCACTCCTTCTACCTGGTGTCTGCCTCTCTGGCCACTGGCCAGAGGCTGCGGCCAGAGCAGCATGGTTCCCAGGCCTGGGGCCTCTTGGCAGTTGGCACACAAGTCAGAGGTCTGGACCTGGCCCTTGGTTCCCAGGGAACAGCATAGTGTCTGGCATTTTAGGAGCTCCTGTCATCCGAACTGTGGTAGTCATGTGGGGAGGGCCAGGATCCTTCCCGGATTTCTGGGCAGGAAGAGTTTGTCAGGCTCGGGTGTGTGTGCTCCAGGGCAGTAGGAGCCCAGGGCAAGGAGGGGAGGGGAAGATCCTGCTTCTGTCATAGCCTGATCAGCCCTAGGGCCTGCTGAAGCTGGGTGTGCAGGGGCAGCCCAATGTGAACTCCGGGCCCTGGAGCGGGGCAGGCTGGGAAGTGGGATTCCAGAGCCTCACCAGCTCCTCCTCTCTCTGGTTTGTATTGGTTTCTCTCCCTTGCCGAAGTGCCCTTTAACCTCTCCTCAAAGTGTCAAGATCCCGAAAATAGCAGTGTAGACTCAGACAGGAAATGAGAAGGGGGCGGGGAGCTGGAGAGCAGACAGACAGGAAACTGGAGGCCTGTTGGCCCCCAGAGAGGAAGCTAACTTCAGGCAGCTCCGGTGTCAGTCAGCCTCAGCTGAGCCTGGTGCTCAGGCTCAGCCTCTCACTGTTAACCCAGGGTGTGGCCAGCAAACATGGCGCCGGTGTTCCAGCTGTGGGGGACAAGTGGCCTTGCCGGGCTGTGGGGTGCAGCTGGCCTGTAAAGGCCCCCAGACATCCAAGGGAACAGAATACTCAGGAGAGTCAGGGTTTTGTCTTGAGAGTTTTATATCTCTCTCTGCTGTGGAATGAACCTGTCCTGTAACAGTCTTCCTGGGATCAGATGGGCTCTTGAATTTCCTTCCAGGGATATTTCAGGCAAGAGGCCTCAAGGCAGAAGGGTGGAAGTGCCCTGATCCCTTGCCTTCAAGGTCTTTGTTGCCCATGGTCCTGCCTCTCTGGCTGAAGGGCCCCGAGTCCTCAGTCTGGCTCTGAGTGGTCATAGCCATTCTGGAGTTACTTGAGCCCCTGACTGTTCCCCCATCCTTTTCCTCTTCTGCCAATCTCACCCTGGCTAAACACAGAATTCCCACATACTCCTCTTTGCTCACTATGTCCCAAAATATCTTTTCTTGAACTTGGTGGAAGGGACCATCATGTCTCTGTTCCAGATTTCTCTTTGACCCCTCTGGCCTGTCTTTTGACTGTGAATTCAGTCAAATTGGGGACCTGCTAGACCTTGTTAGGCGTAGCTCTGCGCAACGGCATATGGCAAATGCTCTTGATAAACCTCCCCATCTCCCCATAATTCTGCCAATAAACATCAAGCAGGGACAGTGCACCCAGTGTTGTGCTAGACCCTAAGAACTCAGAAAATGATTGAGCCAGGTCCCTGCCCATTTAGGAGAGGATTCCTGAAACCTTGTTTGGCTAACATGGTATTGGAAGGCATTGTACCTTTCCCCATCCCTGGCTCCCCAGCCTAGGAGAGGCCTAGGTCAGTGATGTGACCATGGATGGGTCTGCCATGGGTTTTGAACTTCAGCATTTTCCCAGCGTGATGCTAAGTTCCAGAGGATTCAAGAGTGGGTGTTGGGTCAGAGGCCCCTCCTCACCCTTGACTTACTTTAGCAGACCCCTCCACTGTGTTTCCTTTGTCTGCAGGTGGGTACGGGAGTTTCTGAATGATGAGAACAAAGGCCTGGATGTGCTGGTGGATTACCTGTCCTTTGCCCAATGTTCTGTCATGTGAGTACCACCCTAGGGCCAAGGCTGGGGACCAGCAAGGGAGGACACAGTCCCTTTCTGATTTGCTGAGGAAGGGTGAGGTTGCAGTAGTGAAGATGGGAATGGGGATCCCAGGCCAAGAGGAAAAGCCCAGGCAACAGTGTGGGAGTGGACAGGCAGCCAAGGGGATGTCTGGGATCTGCAAAGAATGCCAGGTGGGGAACAGAAGGAGAGAGATATGGAAAGGGAATTCAGGATCAGAACTCAAAAGATCCAAACTCCAGGCTGAGAGCAGTCCAAGGAAATGCCTTGGCTTCTAGGAGAGATGCCTGGTGGGATTCATTTGCCTTTGGAGAGTTGTCTATAAGAATCTCCTTTGGGTTTCCAAATGTGAAATGTGAGAGGGTTACTCCAGGATCATTGCTGAAGGGCCCCAGGAGCAGTGGACATGACCTTTGACCCAGACTAAAAATGAAGTATTCAGGAGGCTTTTTTTAGCAGATTGGGGACTAGAGGTAGCCCTAAGCAAATTGGTACAGATGAGAAGGCAGCATGAGGTGGTGAAAAAAATGAGGGCTTTCAAGTATGACAACCACAAAGCTGGTTGTAGGCTCAGTTATATCGTTTACTATCTGTGTGACCTCAAGCATATTTGCATCCTCTTCTATAAAAGGGGATCCATGTTCCAGGGCTGTTGTAAGGTTTGATGATAATGTGTGTAAAACAGTGGTGTTTGGAACATAGTAAGTCCATACTGTCCTGGCCACTTTATTGTTAATTATGATTATTTAAGGTTGTGTAACCTACCATAATTACCAGGATATATGGAAAGAGGGATTACAGTGATCATTCATGTGATGACCAGTAAATACTTCAGACTTCTACCCAAGACTTACGTCAGCCTTTGGCTGACCAATCATCCCAGTTTGACCAGGTTTTCCCAGTGTTAGCTCCAGAAGTCCTGAGTCCTGGGGAACTCCTCAGTTCTGGGACTCATTCCTAGGCTAGACTTTCACTTTTGTTGTTACTGTCCTTGCCCGTGGCCATTCTCCTTTGTCCAGCAGATCTTTAGTCTTCTCTCTTTAGGGGTTTGAACCTAAACAAGCCTCTCCTAGCTTTGGCCTGTCACTTTTCCCAGGTCATCTCCTGTTAAAATCAAGAGTGGCCTATTCCTCATTCCTATTCCTGCAGAACTGATGCCTCATGGTCCTCCTATCCCTTTAAAAACCACTCTTTTTATAGAAAGAAATGAAAAACATTTGCTGAAGTGATTTTTTTTAAATTCAGAGCTTTTATAGTAAAAAGATGTAGATCATTTTTCCAAATAAGCCTATCTCATTTGAAAAGCAAGCAAATCCCAGCTGCTCAAAACCAAAATACACTGGATCCTCAGTATAGTATGTTCACAGCAATGTCTTTGACTCTGTTTTTGAAAGAAAGATTCAGGGCAGGGGGAGAGAGTGGAGGGGGAAAAAAGTGCTTTGGGAAGGGTTGAAAGGAAAAGGGTGAAGCCAGATAGAGTTTGGGTGAAGGCATTTATTTGTAAACTGCTTATAGCAGTGCTAGGAAATACTATTATTGATTAGGGGAAGCCACTGCCAAGCCACTGGCAAATTTCCCTGTTAGGGAGACTCCTCTGATGTTTACTTGAGAGACCATCAAACATCTGATTGTCAAGACTATGCAGCCTCCTCTGGCCCCTTTGGAACATTCGGTCATCTGTAGATATCATTTCCTATTTCAGAAAGCCTTGGCCTCTGTGCCTTTGGCCCTGGGGCTGTGCATGTCTGAGCAGAAGGTTCCTTGGGGGAAGAACTTGTAGGAGATGCTTATTCGGTCCTTAATGACCTACTTGGGGAAGGAGGACAGAAAAGAAGAGTGGGACTTGTTTCTCAGACATGGGGATTTGTAAAAGACAATACCTCATGGGTTTGTCACCTCAAGCTGTCCTCCTTGCCCTGGCCACACTCCCAAACTGCTGATGGTGATCACAGAAGTAGAAAGTGACAGAGAAACTGTCCCAACTCCTCTAGGGACTAAGGACCCCAGTCCACACCCTCGACCTGTGATTTCTTCCCCCAGGGAAGCTGAAGCCCAAGGAGCCTCTATATCAGAAAACCTAGAAGTCTCAAGTAGAACCACAAAAAACCCAGTCATTAAAGCCCAGTGCTGATATGGGACCATGGTACTCTTAAACATAGAGGACTGTCCCACTCTAGGTTGGCTGGGACCCCAATTCCTTTCCATTCAGACCTGCCTCATGAACCCAATCCAGAACCAACCAGGCCACTGCAGGGCACCCCTTTGGCCACTGTCATTTGCGAACCAGCAAGACCCACAGTTGGCCTATTCTGCACCACCCTTCCATAGGGCAGCTTCTCCAGGAGAGCCACAGCTCCTTTGGGATGCCCTGTCTAAGGCCGGGAGTACAGAAAGGCTGCCAGCTCTCTGGTCCCTTTGGGCCCAGGAAGAGGTCACTCCTGGAGTTGCTCAGCCAGTGGGGAGCAGCAGCTTGCCTGCGTCAGCCTATCCATGTCCTCTGGGCCCCGTCCTGGCTGCTGACTGTGCCAGCACTGCCCTTGTCCTGTGTTGGTGGCACTCCTGACCAGGGTTGGGTCTCTGCTACCCAATCCCGCTTGCTCTTCTTGCCCTCTTTGCTTCTTATTGCCCTAGAGGTCTAAGGGGTGGGAGTGGGCTTGCCAGGGGGCTTAGCACTGAATTTCTCCTGTGTGTGCGCTTGTGTGTCCTTTCCTGCTCCAGGTTTGACTTTGAGGGTCTGGAGAGTGGTGACGATGGTGCATTTGACAAGCTCCGGTCCTGGAGCAGGTCCATCGAGGACCTGCAGCCACCCAGCGCCCTGTCAGCCCCCTTCACCAACAGCCTCGCTCGCTCTGCACGCCAGTCTGTGCTCCGGTATGTGTGCTCTTGCTCTGCCCGCCTGCCTCCCACCCTAGCCCCCAGTCCAGGTCATGGGTGACAGCGGTGAGTGCTCATTGCTCCTCCCTCCACTCTTGCTTCCAGGCTCAGCTCTCTTGCCCTCTGCCTGCCAGTCTGTCTCTGGTCTGTCCTCTCTGTCTCCTTGACTCTGCCCAGCAATCTGTCCTGGGTAAGTACATCACCCTCGGCTGTGCCCGCCCCATCTGGAGTTCCAGCTCTCCCCTCTCTACACTCCCCTCCTAGGGGCCCCCTCCATTCCTCTTTTTCACTCTGCCCTTCCTCCCAGCCTCTTGGACGAGACTGTCCCTCACCCAGCACCCTGGTCTTCACTGGGTGATCCAGTTCCTGCCCTCCTGTCTGTTTCCCTCTGGCTCTGCATTCTGCCCGTCAGCTGCTCCAAGCCCAGTTCCCACCCAGCCTGCCTGCCGCTTGCCTTCCCTTCACTTCTTCCTTTAGGACTTTTCTCTCCAAGGCTGCTTTGTGTTCTTTTTTTGCAGTATTTTAACAGCCTTCCTGCCCGGAGGCAGGTGGATAGACCGGATGACTTTTCAGAGCCCCTCCTACATAGGGAGGCTTTCCTTTGGGCCCTGTGGCCCTTTCTGTTGCTTCATCCCTCTCGTGGCCATGCTTTTCTCCTGGTCTCCTTTGGGTTTTGTCCTTCTGACTCTTCTCATCATTCTAGTCCTGCGTGAGCAGCCACCATTTGTGCTTCCTCTTTCTTTCATGAAGCATCACTGGGGGCAAAGCCGGATATAGCCCCCAGCCCTCCTATTGCCTTTGGGGTCTGCTCTGCCCTTTCTGGGACATAAAAGTGGGATGGGAACCAAGATGCTCCTGCCCCAGGGAATTTGTGGAAGATGCTGCAACTAGAAGGAGAAGGAGGGAAGGCAGGGATAAGGATAAGGACCCTGGATCCACCTGGAGGACTAGGAAGGCCTGCACATCTACTGTTGTACTTTGGAGGGCCCCTGGGCTCAGGATGGTTTGGGCACTGAATTATAAAGCTGGAGTCCTGGATAGTTACTCACAAAGGCCTGTTGCAGAGAGATGAAAACAGCCAAGCACCCTGTTCCCTTCCCCCAGCCCCCACTCTCTAGACTGTTGGTTCAAGGTCTCCTGCCCCCCTTTTCTGCTGCTGCAGTCAGGGTGATGGTGAGCACTCCTAGTCCCTTCACCAGCAGCCCCCTCTTCCCCAGGTATAGCACCCTCCCTGGGCGCAGGGCTCTGAAGAACTCCCGCCTGGTGAGCCAGAAGGATGATGTCCACGTCTGTATCCTCTGTCTCAGAGCCATCATGAACTATCAGGTAAAGGGGCAGCACTAGCCTTGGATGCCCCACCTGTTATGCCTCATCTGCCAAACTAGAAGAGCTAGGAGGGCACCAGCTTGTAAAAGATGATTTTGGGGGGAAAAAAGGAGCATTTGCTGGAAGGCCTAAAGTCAAGGAGATCCAGCAAGGATCTGCCTTCCCCACCATCAAGGTTTTCCTTCCTCTGTCCTTTCCCCTTGTTACAGTACGGATTCAACCTGGTCATGTCCCACCCCCACGCTGTCAATGAGATTGCACTCAGTCTCAACAACAAAAATCCAAGGTAAGTTCTTTCCCTCCCCTTTCCTCCCCACTGTGCCCAGGGCTCTGGAGATTTGGGCTCCACTTGTCCCTTACAAGAAGTCCTGCCTGGCTTTGGGGTCCTGTGGTCCTCGTCAGTGCCTCGGTTCGGCTCCCTCACTTCAGCTTGAGGAGAAGGAGTGTCCCTGGCTTCCCTCTGGTCTGCACAGCTCAGTGAGGGGCAAGCCTTCCTTCCTCTGCTTCCTTTCCAAAACCCACTCCCCTCACTTCTGAGGCTGTCTCCACTCTCTGAAAGGACTCACCTTGTAGAAGTGAACTGTATGGTAGCCAGGGTGGGGAGCTGGGATGTTAATTGTTTTTCTTCACTCCTTAGGACCAAAGCCCTTGTCTTGGAGCTCTTGGCAGCTGTGTGTTTGGTGCGGGGAGGTCACGAAATCATTCTTGCTGCCTTTGACAATTTCAAAGAGGTCAGTCTCCTGCATCTGTGTGTGTGTGTGCGCACGTGTGTGTTCGGTGAGGAGGTGGGGAGCCAGTTAGGTAAGCACCCTTTCCTGTGATCTCGCACATCCCAGTGATTCTGACACCCCGTGCTTAGCTAGGTAGCCAGTCCCACTGTCTTTTTTTTTTAAACCAAATACAGAACTTCAGTCGTACCAGATCTTATGGCAGGACAGCTCCTGAATGGCCAGCTAAAGATGCCCTCATTCGAGGGCTGTAGGCCAGTGGCCCTAACCAGGCCATGTATCAGGATACCTGAAGAGCTTGTTAAGCTTACAGACCCCTGGGATGCCTGAGTACCTGTGCTTTAACAGGTTTCCTAGGTGGCTCCGAGGCAGTGAACCCACCAGTAGAACCCAAGGCAGATGTGTTTGTGGTGGGAGGAGAAGACAAGCAAGGATCTTCCTGAGTCGTTGGCTGTTATTGATGAGGGGAGAGGAAGCTCCTACTTGGAATTTCCCCAGCCTCTGGGCCTGGCTCTGATACTCTCATCTGCCTGAATATAGGATTCTTCGACATCTAGTCGCAGCTGCTGGGCCCACCCCTTCCTCCTCTTTGGACGTTTTCCCTAGCATCCATTGTTCAAGTCAGGAAACGGCTCTTCCTCCTAGAAGCCAGAGGCTCAGAGGAGTCTCTGAACCCCTCTTAGCACGGGGGCTTTCCTGCACCCTGGTCTCCCCTGTCTGTCCCTACTCGGACCTCAGCCTCCTGCCTCGGCCATGGCCTCCAACCTTCCTCCTCCCTCCTTCCTTCCTTCAACAACTGAGCAACAGTGTTTCTTCTTGGCCTACCCCCTAGAGGCACCTAAAGGCCAAATTAATGGCACAGACTTTACTGGGTTCCCTCAGCAAGTTGATGGGGGGAATCAGGGACCCAGGCAGATGCCAGGTCCCAGGCTTTCTTCTACATGATGAGTTTGTTAAATGTACAGGCTTTCTTCTATGTGTCCCAGTGGCCCCTACATAAAAAGAGTTGTGATTCAGCTTATTCTGAACCAGTTCCTCTGAACCAGTTCCCATGATGTTCCTGGGAGCCAGGGCTCAAGGGCTTAGGTTCTGCATGGGATAGATCTTTTCACTGAGAAAGTTTGTTTGTTCAGGTATGCAAGGAGCTGCACCGCTTTGAGAAGCTGATGGAGTATTTCCGGAATGAGGATAGCAACATCGACTTCATGGTGAGGAACTGGGCCTGGGTTGGGCACATGCCCAGCAGGTCCTGTGCTCCTGGAGAACAAGGCCAGGCCAACAACATATCTTGATATTCTGTGTAGAACCTACAATGATTCTTTCTACTCAGTAAATGCTCCTTGTCCACTTCCCTACCCTAGAGAGCATTTAGAAATGTCAGAGCAATGCCATTTTATGTCTTGGGTCTACCTCCTTTGCCCCCTTTTGTGGCCTTACCTTCCCTGATTTGGATCCTTTCAGAGCTGCTTTGCTTTACCCGAGCTTTTCCTTTCACTTCTCTTCCCTTCAGCCTGGGGTCTTTAAGTAACGTTGCCTCAAGAAATACCTGCTGATGTACAAAAGAAATCGGTTGCATGTTCATTTTCATCTATTTCTCATGTAATTTACTTGTCTTCATAAACTGACTATTAAGTTTGATATTTTTTAAGTTAAAATACTCTTATTCCCAGAAAGACTCAAATTTTTTATTCACTCCTTTTTTTTTTTTAAGTTTATGTATTTATTTTGAGAGAGAGAGTGCGCACAAGTAGGGGAGGGGCAGAAATAAAAGGGAGAGAGAGAATCCCAATGCAGGGCTCGATCTCACGGTCTGTGACATCATGACCTGAGCCAAAGCCAAGAGGTGGGAGCTTAACTGACTGAGCCACACAGGCACCCCCTATTCACTCCTTTTGATTATCCACCTAATGATACTGGTTCTAAAACCCTGGCTCTTTGGTCTCTCCTTTCCCTTCCTACCTCTGACCCTCTGGGCTGCTTCTCCAGGTGGCCTGCATGCAATTTATCAACATCGTGGTGCACTCAGTAGAGGATATGAACTTCCGGGTCCACCTGCAGTATGAGTTTACCAAGCTGGGGCTGGAGGAGTTCCTGCAGGTGAGCTGGGCTAGAGTCCTCACAGGCAAGGAGCTGGGGGGCAGAGGACCAGCTTAGTCACATCACAAAGGGTTTTTCTTTTACAAGAGCCTAGTCACGGATGCTCCTGGAATCCTGCCTATCTTCTGAGGTGTGGGTCTCAGGCCCTTCTGCAGAGGGCTCTCCAGTTAGGCAGCTCCACTGGGTGAGAATATGATATGGGTGCAGAGGAACTCCCTGGGTCTTATGTTCTAGGAATTGGTCATGGAGGGTGGTGAGGACTAAGTCTCTCTCAGGAAGCTCCCCCCAACTACTACTCTCTCTGCTCTTCCCAGAAGTCAAGGCACACAGAGAGCGAGAAGCTGCAGGTGCAGATCCAGGCATACCTGGACAATGTGTTTGATGTTGGAGGTTTGTTGGAGGATGCTGAGACCAAGAATGTGGCGCTGGAGAAGGTGGAGGAGCTGGAAGAGCATGTTTCCCATGTAGGTAGTCTTTTTTTTGCTGCCAGAACCACTGTTGAGGGAGGGGAGAGGACGGGGATATCTCAGTTCCAGGAATCTTGACCTGACCCACTTGCCTTCACATTGAGCCCCAGGGAAGCCTCAGGTCCCAGCATGCTCTGGCCGAGGCCCTGGGTCATCCACAGATTGGAGCACATGCTGACCTCTAGGACTGGGCATGAGATGGCCTCAGGCTTGAGAGAGATGTGGCCTGTTTCAGGTGGTCTCAGACCCTGGGCCCATGGGAGTGATGTAGGGAAGCCACTGGGCCACACTGCCTTTGGAGCCCTGGGTACAGGGGTCGGGCCCAAGTCCTGACTGAGGCTCAGGCTGTGCAAAGTGCCCAGGCTTTAGGGTCAGTGCCAAACCTGCCCTTCCCATCCCATAGCTCACAGAGAAGCTTCTGGACCTGGAGAATGAGAACATGATGCGTGTGGCAGAGCTAGAGAAGCAGTTGCTGCAGCGGGAAAAGGAACTAGAAAGCATCAAGGTACCAAGTAATCTGGAGAAGGGAGTCTCTGACTGGTGCTGGGTACCAGGGCCTGGGATTGGCTTTTCTTTCTCTCTCTTTCTCCCTCCCTCTCTCCCTTCCTTCCTTCTTTCTTTTTTCTTTCTTTCTTTTTGATATTTCTCTTATCAATTTATTTATTATCTCTTTGCTCTTTCATACAGCCAGCTGCATCCTATTATACAAAGTGTATCTGGAAATTGTAGTTTTATATTTGGCTTTTGTTTCTTGAGTCATTTGGCTTTTCTCCCTTGAGATTTTCATGTCTTTGAGAATCCAGATCTTGATTCACCCTTGAGGCACTCAGATGAGGGTAAGCTGATGATTTCACCCTAAGTTTTAGCTGGAGAAGAAAACTGAATCCAGAGTGGGTCAGACACACACAGGGGAGGGTGGGAGCAGGTGGGGCACCCGCAGGCACCTCTGGCATCCAGACCTCTTCCTACTAGTCCATCCTGTTGCTTTTCCCTCCCCTGTGTGATGAGGGGGCTGAGTAGCCCACGTGCTATCCACCAGGTATCCTAAGTCGAGAGACCAGAGGCTTCTGTCTGCCCCTCACCTCATTCATTGTTAGTTATAAAGTCATGCCCCAACCTACCTTTTCTTCCAGAGAAATACAATTATACTGGCTCTACCAAGCTTGGCCAACATCTGCCAAGCCCCTGTTGAGTCCAAAGTGCCGTCCTGGGGAGTATGGAAGTTATGGAGATGGCTAGGGCAGGCTCTTGTCCAGAGGGGGCTGCCACCTGAGCGGTTATACAAGGCCATGTGCAATGAGAACATATCAAGGCACAGAGGGCTGAGGGCAGTGTGGCAGGAGGCTGGAGGTGGGCCTGGGAGCTTTACACAGGAGCAACTCCTGACTCAGGCCTTGAGAAACCAGCAAGACTAAGGCTGGGTCCAGGAGGAAGTGCACTGGAGGGTGTCAGCTGGGTCAGCGACTCTTCTGCTCACCTCTTGTTCTGTGGAACAGCCTCCTCAGCCCCCACCTGGGTTTCTGCTTCTCTCTGCCTCTGGGCACCCTCCCAGAGACCCCAGCTGAGAGACCTCGGGTAGGGGCAATACCTGCTGTGTGTGCCTTCCACTTATCCTTTCCTTAATGGTGCTGTCTCCCAATAGGAGACTTATGAGAACACGAGCCACCAGGTACACACGCTGCGGCGGCTCATTAAAGAGAAGGAGGAGGCCTTCCAGCGCAGATGCCACTTGGAGCCTGGGGCCCGGGGCCTGGAGTCCGTGGGCAGCGAGGCCCTGGCCCGGGTAGGCCCTGCAGAGCTGAGTGAGGGCATGCTGCCCTCCGACCTGGACCTCCTGGCTCCAGCCCCACCGCCCGAGGAGGCCCTGCCTCTGCCTCCGCCACCTGCTCCTCCCCTGCCCCCTCCACCACCCCCATTACCAGGTGAGAAGGACCCTGGGAGCCCTGAGGGGCAGCCTCATCTTGCGGCCAGACCAAAACCTGAGACAACACTGCCTCCCTTAGGGAGAAGCCAGGGATGTAGATAGAAGGATGTGAAGTCATGTGGGGGAGGGTTGAGGGAGGGCAAGAATCTGAGGGAGGCTCAAGTTACTGGGCAGGGGGTGTCCAAGGGCGGACGTGTGTCTCTTTTAAGGATCATGAAGGTGCTGCTCCTGATTCCTCTGTGGACAGCCACAGAGAGGGTTTAGTTCAGAGCAGAAGACAGGGAGCCAGAGGCCAGTGAGACCTGCCCTACCAGTTAGGACCCTGGGCGCCGGAGGGGCAGGGAGTTCACGCATCCTCTTTCCCCAAAAGCCTTTGAGGACAGGTTGGGTGGCATTGGGGAGGGCATCTCTAAAGAGCCTTTTGGACTGTGGGTCACTGTGGCATTTATTTTCCCCCAGACAAATGTCCCCCAGCCCCACCTCTCCCTGGCGCTGCTCCCTCTGTGGTGTTGACAGTAGGCCTGTCAGGTGAGTGTCCCCAGGGCTCTGGGCAGGGCTGGTGGGATGGAGGTAGAGTGTCCGTGTCCTTGGCCCCAGCCTCACTGAACCTCCTTCCAAATTAGCCATTCGTATCAAGAAACCTATCAAGACCAAGTTCCGGCTGCCTGTCTTCAACTGGACAGCACTGAAACCCAACCAGATTAGCGGCACTGTCTTCAGTGAACTTGACGATGAGAAGATCTTGGAGGTAGCAGGGCCTAGAGCCCTCAGGGGTGGGGTTGAGGGCTGGGGACCAGATCATGCTTTTAGCCAGATCTCCTAGCCTTGGAAATGCCCTCAGAATCAGGCCTCCATGAACTAGAGCTGAATGGACACTGGGCATGCTGCCAGGGCCATTAGTAGAATGAGGTGACTGCATTGTCCCTTCTCATCCACTCCTGCCAGGATCTGGACCTGGACAAATTTGAAGAACTGTTCAAGACGAAAGCCCAGGGCCCTGCCCTTGACCTCATCTGCTCTAAGAGCAAGACAGCACAAAAAGCTGCCAGCAAGGTGACCCTGTTGGAAGCCAATCGTGCCAAGAACCTAGCCATCACCCTCCGCAAGGCTGGCCGCTCGGCTGAGGAGATCTGCAGAGCCATCCACACGTGAGGCTCCCACTGACCTTGCCCTGGTCCCCAGCCAGTTGGCAACCCAGTTCTCCACCTAGGATCCTGGTCTTCCCTGGACTGCAGGGTGTTGACGGAAGTGTCTTACACCCTTCATTCATCCACTGGCTTGGCCAGAACTTGGTACATCTGTGCTGTGTGCCAGGCACTGTGTGAGGTGCTGGGGATTCAGCGCAAACCTTCACTCAAGTTGCTGCCAGTCTAAGCAGAACAGTTCAGTAGCATGGGTGATAACCACCTAGGTGGTAGAGATTCAGGCAGCTTTGGGGGAACAGGGCAGGCTAGGTAGCAAAGCTTGGTGATTCAGAAGGCTTCCCAGAGGAGGCGAGGAAATATATGAAGTCCATTTCAGTGCCTGGAGGGAGAAGCATGGTGCCCTAGGTACTGAAAATTAACAATGACTTCAGCATAGGAGGAGAGTGGAAGAGACAGGGTAGAGACAAATGGGCAGAAGTCTTGGAGGCTGAGCCTCATAAACTTGTGTTAAGATTTCTTCCCTAAGGGTAAGGGGGTGGGGGGACACTGAAGGGTTTTAAAACAGGCCATGGACTGTTCACCTAGGATGTTACTCAAGCTCTGATAGATGAGGCAATAGGCTCTCTGCCTCTGGCTGTGTCCTGCTCGCCGACTCTACCTGCAGTCCTTCTAGGAGCTGGAGAAAAAAATGGATGATGGATAATGGGCATATGCAAGACCTCAGCTCACTCCTTCCTCCTGCACAGGTTTGACCTACAGACACTACCAGTGGACTTCGTGGAGTGCCTGATGCGCTTCCTGCCCACAGAGGCTGAGGTGAAGCTGCTGCGGCAATATGAGCGGGAGCGGCAGCCCCTGGAGGAGCTGGCAGCTGAGGACCGCTTCATGCTGCTCTTCAGCAAGGTGGAGCGGCTAACCCAGAGAATGGCCGGCATGGCCTTCCTGGGCAACTTCCAAGACAACCTGCAGATGCTCACACCGGTATAGCCTCTACCCAAATCAGGGTCATCTGTGGCTACCCCATCACCTGCTAGTCACCTCCCCTGCCCTGTCAGACTCCCCGACCCCCTGCCACATCCAGCCCCTCTTGGACTTTGCCCACCAACCCCCCCCCCCCCCACCGGCCTAGGCTTACACAGCTCTTCATCTTCCTTCCAGCAACTCAATGCCATCATTGCAGCCTCTGCCTCTGTCAAGTCCTCTCAGAAGCTGAAGCAGATGTTGGAGGTGAGGAGAGGATGTGGACGCAGGCACCAGTGGGCCTGGGGCCTGGGTGGAGGAAGGAGCCCGCGGGGCATGGCCTGACCTCCATGCATCTTTTGGACAGATCATACTTGCACTGGGGAACTACATGAACAGCAGCAAGCGAGGAGCTGTGTATGGCTTCAAGCTCCAGAGCCTGGATCTGGTAAGATGGTGGGGACAACCCAGGGCCAGGAAGCCTGAGGAGCCATGGTGTTTGGCCCTCTCTCACTGCTCCCTGCCCCGCTCTCTCAGCTGTTGGATACCAAGTCCACTGACAGGAAGATGACACTGCTGCATTTCATTGCACTGACCGTGAAGGAGAAATACCCAGACCTGGCCAACTTCTGGCATGAGCTACACTTCGTGGAGAAGGCTGCAGCAGGTAAGGGGAGCTTGGCCCAGTGAGCCTGCCCTCGTGTCTAGCCCAGGACAATCCCAGGAAGCTTAGGAGAGGGAACACTTGGGTCCTTTGTTTCTGGCTTTTGTTATCTCCCTTCTGGCCACTTCAAAGCTTTCCCCTAGGGCCACGGGTAGGGGCTACCCCTGAGGGAGCCTTCCTGCAGGCACCCGCCTAGCCCATCCCTTCCCACTTGGGTGCCATGAGAGTAGGCAGAGGTAGGCAGCAGTGGCTCTTCATTCCCAAATCCCTCATGCTGGCCCCAGAGACTGCATTTCTCTGTGATACATGTCAAGAGCTTAGAAAAACCATAAAGCCCCCACAGACATAAGGCAGCTGTTATTTCTGCCCCACTCATGAAAACTGGTCCAAGCTTGAGGCAGTTCCATTTTGGAGACCAGCAGTCTCTCTGGCTTGCTTTTCTGTGCTGCCTTGCTCTTTGGGGTCATGAGCTCATAGCCCCCATTCCTTTTCCTTGCCTGTGAGAGCCCCGTAAGCTTGGTGTGCCCTTCTCTGTGTCCACCAGATGGCTCAGGAAGCAGAGGCAGGAGAACCTGCTTGCTGCAGTGGGGGTCGGGGTGGGGGGGTTGGACAGAATTCTGTGTAGCTCTGGGCTCGAAGGTGGGCATGGTGGCCCCTGGGTAGGCCTCAGCCCAGGCTCTGGTGACCACAGTGTCCCTGGAGAACGTGCTGCTAGATGTGAAGGAGCTGGGCCGTGGCATGGAGCTGATCCGGCGGGAATGCAGCATACATGACAACAGTGTCCTTCGGAATTTCCTCAGCACCAACGAAGGCAAACTGGACAAGCTCCAGCGTGATGCCAAGACAGCCGAGGTGGGCAAAGGGTGGAGGCAGGTGGGAGCAGTGTCCCTCCAAGTGAACTTTGTTCTGGTTCTTGAACCAAAGAACTTTTACCACATGGTTGGTTGGCTGGCTGTACGTGGTGGAGAAGGGGCATTGGCGGGGGGCGGGGTGCGTAGAAGTTGCCCCTGGGGACATATTATAAGGAGCTTTGGGAGCCCCAGGCTCTCTTCCATCCCACAGGGCTGGTGCTGGTTTTCCTCCTTTGGCCTTGAGCTCTGCTTTTTGTGAGCCTCCTGTCCCCAGTGGGGAGCCAGGCTTCTCTGCCAGGCTGATCCCTCTGTCCACCCCTTCCCCAGGAGGCCTACAATGCAGTTGTGCGCTACTTCGGTGAGAGTCCCAAGACCACACCCCCTTCTGTATTCTTCCCGGTATTTGTCCGATTCATTCGTTCTTACAAGGTGAGCGGAAGAAAGGCCTTTCAAAAGGAGTTTGGCTGGAAGAAAATTGGTAGGGGGAGGGAGGGCTGGGCTCCAAGTCCTCGGAGTCCTGGGAGGGAGCTATGGAAGCTGGCCACAGGCCTCTCAGCTGTGAACGGGTGGTCAGGGTGGGAGCCCAGGCCCTTCCTGTCATTGTTCGGAGCAGGAAGTGCCCCTCCAGAGGGTGGCCACCTGGGGTTGCTGGCCCCACTGCCACCCATTCTCCACCCTCTGTGTCAGCCCCTCCCCTCAAAGCCTGTGTGAGCCTCACCCCCCCGCCCAACTCCCATGGTTCTTAGGAAGCAGAACAAGAGAATGAAGCTAGAAAGAAGCAGGAGGAGGTAATGCGGGAGAAGCAGCTGGCTCAGGAAGCCAAGAAACTGGATGCCAAGGTGGGTGGGACCAAGAGCTGGGGCATGGCGGAGAGCACAGCAAAGGATTAGGAGGGGGTGGGGAAAGAGCTTGAGAGGTGGAAAACTGGAGCCCAGAGACCACCCAGAGGGTCCAAGCCTGGAGGCTGGGGAGAGGGGCTTTGGGAGGGGATTCCTAGGCAATGATTGGGAGTGGGCTGCTGTATACAATCAAGGGCATCTTCAGACCTGCATCTCAGACCAGGAACCAGTCCCATGATAGGTTAATGATGACTCCCTTCCCCTTCACATGCTCGGCCCCAGACCCCGTCCCAGCGGAACAAGTGGCAACAGCAGGAGCTAATTGCAGAGTTGAGGAGGCGCCAGGCCAAGGAGCATCGGCCTGTTTACGAGGGGAAGGACGGTACCATTGAGGACATCATTACAGGTGGGGCCCTTGTCCTTCCCTTGGGTCTGGCCACTAGGCCCAGCTCCCAAACTCCAACCCTACCCCTTTGGGCCCTCTTCCCACCCCATCCCCATGAGGCCTGACCACTGTGTCTCTTTCCTGGGCCACAGTGCTGAAGAGTGTCCCTTTCACGGCCCGTACTGCCAAGCGGGGCTCACGCTTCTTCTGCGATGCAGCCCACCATGATGAGTCAAACTGTTAACCCCCAAGACTGGGGCCCTTGACAGGTACTGGGCACCGCAGCTGTCCCCTCTGCATGCCCACCTCCCAGGACTCCTGCTGGGCCCACAGGCACCTCCTCCCCTGCATGACTTGGAATCATCCCCTGGCAGCCTTGCGGTGATGGGGGCATATACTTCTCTACTTGCATGCCCCATGCTCTGAGAACCATGGCTTGTCCCCTGCATGTGCCCTCAGGGAAGTGTTCTCTCTCCCACTAATGCTGTCCTGGCTTCTACTAAGACTCAAGGGGCAGGGAGTTTCCAGAGCAGGCAGGACCAGGCTACCACTTCTCATTGCTAAGGCTCCATTCCTGGGCCTGGGTATCCTTTGTGACTTGTGCCCCCTCCATCCCCATCATAAGAGCTCTGGCAGTAGCTTCTGCCCAGGGGGGTATTTTGTGATCCTTGACCTGTACCCTGATATTCAGTCTACCTGGGGTCTCTCCCCAGTTTCTGGCTATTGCTGAGTCTACTTTGTTTCTGCCACTGCCCAGTGGTCTCTAGTAACCCCCACCTGGTCCTCTGAAAATGCAGAGCCCTAGAAGTGTCCTGATCATTCCCTCTACCTTCCTTTAAGCTTCTCCCTCATTGGCCTCATGGCTGGCTTTTCTTTGGCTCTGCCTGTGGGGCTGCTCCTAAAGAGACTGTTCTTCAGAGGGCGGGCCTGGCCCAGCCTCCCTGCCTGTTCACAGGCCTCCGTTTTTCCCACAGGCCTCCACCGCCAGCCCATTGTCGTTCGCCACCAAGCCAGGAGTGCCGCACCACCCAATGGGCCCCCTCGGGCTCCAGGCCCCCACTAAGGCCCTCTTGGTGGCAGAAGCACTTCAACTCTCAGAGTCCTGCAAGTCCAACCTGTGGACCTGGAGCCCTGGAATTGGCTGAGGGTGCAGCAGAGGGCTATGCTGCTTTCAACCCAGCATCCATCCCAGCACTCAGAGCTGCACGTGCCTGATGTCAGTGTGGGCACTGGGTCTTTTGGGGCCTGACACTCCCCTGGTGCCTCTAGTACTGCACTTTGCCCCTCCAGGGTCTTCTTTTCCTGAAAGGTCACCAATGGTCAACTCAGGGCTGGGAAAAATCATTTCTAGCCTTAGCCTATACTGGGGCCAGTAGGCCCTTGTCACTAGGCCAGAGGGACAAGAGGAGAAAGCAACTATCCCTTCTTTTTCCCTTCCTTTTTGCAGCTCCATGGTCAGCTGTGGTCTGGAAGTATCCAGACTTAGGGAGTACCTTACCAGTCTCAGATCATCTTTTACCAGGAGCAAGGCCCACCTAAGCCTGGGCCCCACCCAGCTGTGCCCTGGTGATAAGGGTAGAGGAAAGATGCCACGCTTACTGCCCTTGGCCCTTTCCACTCTAGGCTGACTCTGTTCTTGTTGAAGTGAGCAGAAGGGTAGAGGTTTTCCCTGCCCCTGCCCCTGCTCCAGGATAGCTAGAGAAAGGGTGTGACATCAGCATCCTCACTTCCTCTCCACTGCAAGGGTTTGTTTTGGCAGGGGGCAGGGGACATGGTGGTCTTAGCTATTTTCTTAGTCTCCTGCCAGTTTCTTCTCAGCCCCTGGAGGAGAATACAGGGAGCCACTTCTTTTTGTACATGTATCACCTCCCTTCTCTCGTGTACATAAATCCCAGACCTTTTTTCTCTCAACAAAGGCTTGAAGCACCAGGCCTGACTCTGTCTCCTTTTTCTCAGTGTGGGGACTAGGGTGGCCATTTGGCCTGACCTGAACCTTGGAGACGGAAAGGAGGCTGCATGGAGCTGCCATCTGCTTGGGGGAGGTGAGCACAAGAGCCTGGGGAAGGGGAACCAGGCTGCGTGGGCTCCAACCACACAAAGGGAGGCTGGCCTGCCACGAGACACTAGTGCTCTCTGGTGGCCACACGTGAGAGCAGCCTACCCAGCAGTATATGGAGAAGATAAAAGAGCCACTGGCCATGTTATAAATATTATTTAAAAAACAAAAACAAAACAAAACACACGTATACTGGGTCCCGGGGCTGAAGGAAGGAGTGGTAGAGCCCGAGGGCCCGGGCAGGCAGGAGCAGGCACTGGTGCTAGAGGGTAAGGACCCCACCTGTCACCAACCTGTCATTCTTCCCTAGAGGCCCCTTCTCACATTTCTCTACTGGCGCCACCCACCCCACACAGCACACCAATCTCTGGTCTGGGGCTGAGGGCAAGGACTGCACTAGTTGCCCAGGAAGTGGAGGACCCTAGAACACCACAAGCAACCTTGGGGGTGCCAGCAGTGGTGTGTTGGGGGTGGGGTTACTTGAGGAAGAGTGGACACAGACCAGACTAAGAAAGGAGTCTAGTGCAGATGGTGAGGGTGACCTAGGATCCACAGCCTCACACAGACCCAAGGCGGAGCAGCTCGTCGGGTCACTGGTGGTCATCCAGCTGCTGCAGGAGTGTCCGCCGCCGCCTTTCCAGCTCGCCCTCGCTCAGCTCACTTTCCGACGTGTCCCAGCCCGTCTGGTGGAGCAAAGGCACAGCTCACCCACAGCCTCCCCTGAGGGCCACAGAGGCCTGAAGAGAGTGCTGACTGGGTTGGGGTCAGGTGCCAGCCTCTCACCTTCTCCTTTTTGATTCCAAAAGCTGGGGAGCGGTTGGGGAGTTCTGCCCGCCGGAGCTCCCTGTCCTTGTCCTGTTCTGGTTCTTTCTCATCACTCTCCTTGCCAGCTTTCTCCTCAGGGTCTGTCTCACTCTCAGGACTGTTCTGTAAGAGCCCAGAGCCCGCCAGCTCAGTTCCTGTGAAGGACAGCCTGGGAGGCGGCTGAAGAGCTCTCTCAACATGGCAGGGCCCTGGGTAGAAGTCCCTTCTCTACGCACCGACTTGTGTCTTCTCTTCTTAGTTTTCTTTTTTGGTTTCTTGGCTTTCCGAAGGCCATGATCTAGGGATAGAAAATGCCCAGTAAGTCCCGTGGGAGGAGGGAAGGCAGGGTTCGTCCCTTTCTCTGCCACAGTCCTCATTCTTTAGACAGGGAGCTATCTGAGGAAGTGTCTGTCAGTCCAGTTTTCCTTCCTTCTCCCAGTTCCTGCCTGGGCAGGGATGGGACATTCTTCCTACCCGATCCACTCCACCTCCAACCTCAGGGCACTGGCTGGGCTCCCCGAGGGCCTTCCCTCATCTGAGTCAACTTCTCCAGCTCCCAACTGCTTACCTGATCCAAGGAGAAGGCGAGAAGATGGAGAACCCCGTCCTCCAAGGGCAGCACCCCCACTTTCAACCGAATCAAGTGAGGAAGAGGGCTCAGAGCCTGACTCCGAGGGGTTCCGCCTTCTCCGTTTGGGGGGTCGGAGAGACGGTGGGGGCAACTCCTCCTCTTCCGACTCAGAACCCTGGGCAGATCAGCAGATACGTGTCAGGCCACAGGTTCTCTGGCCTCCAGAAGCCCTCAAGTCTGGGAACTGGGGACAGAGAGGAGCATGCAGGGCCAAAGGAATTTTCAAATCTCACTCCAAGGGGAGGTAACGTAGGGGAAAAACAAGAAACGTGGTTCCTATTTCCCAAAGACAATCTAGCCTCCCTCCACATCCCTTCTGCCCACCAACTCACTGATGGCGAGTGGGAACGCTTTCGGTGGTGCTTCTTGCCCTTTCTGCCATGTTTTCGGCCTTTGGTGTGGAGGTGCTGGCATTCAGTCTGGTAGAAGCAAAAGGAGTGGTGAGGAAGGCACCAGGGTTAGCCCCAAGAACCCTGCACCCGAAAATCTGATTTTGCCTCCTCCTCTCAGGCTAGAGCCTCAGGCCTCTCCAGGACCACGTCAGACATCCCCTGGTTGTGCAGGGAAAGGAGAGCCCCAAGGGTAGGAGGCCACTGGGGTCTCTGTTGAGCTGTACTGGGTGTTCATAACAAGCCTGAGACAGGGGCAGGGGGTCAGAAGCTCTGCCTTACCTCCAGTACCTGCAGGAACTCCCGGAAGAGCCGGATCCGCTCCGACTCCAGGGTGATCTGCTCAAAGGCTGAGTCGCACACAAAGCGCTCACGGACCTTGAACGGGAGAGCACTGCTGATCAGACCAGCCCCAGCACGGCACGGACACCGCCATGAGCACAGGGCAGGGCTGGGGCAGAGGAAGGAAGGGAGCTGAAGCTGGCCGCGAGCTGTGCTATGACTGGGGTGGGCCCTCAGTGGTGGAGAAGCACCGCTGCCGTCAGGACTGAGGGGGTGGTGTTTGGTGCCAGGCTACAGCCCTGACCTCTTCCCAGGCAGTGCCCAGCTCCAGAGCAGGCACGGCCTGCCTCAGCATGCTTCGGAAGGCAGCTTCCCTGCGCCGCATCCTTCGCGCCTCCTCCTTCTCGCGCTCTCTCTCCCGTGCCTCTGCTTTCTCCAGCAGCTGAGAACAGAAAGGACGCAGAACTGGGTCAGCCAAGAGGGTGGGTGCCCAGGCCCCACTCAAGCATACGAAAGGTCGAGGGAAGCTGGGGTCTGAGCTCCTGCTGCCATCCCCTGAACAGGGGGTACGGTCACACTGGGGCAGTGAACAAGAAGGAATGGAACAAGACAGAGGGATGAGTTAGAGAATGGAGCCCTGGCTACATCCCCGCCCTGCCCAGCCCCTCACACTATTGAAGGTCAGCTTGATGTTGCCTGCGTCCAGCGCAGCAGCCCTCTTGTCAAAGCTTATGACGTGAGCGAAGTCCTCAAAGGCTGTGTTCACCTCCACGCAGAAGCCCCGGTCCTGTGGGCACAGCGGTGCATGAAGCAGAAGCCAGCACGGGCCTGAACCCTGAAGCTGGCCTCCAGGGCTGGCAGAAGGTCACACTACAGAATGCTCTAGAAGTCCCCCAGCCTCCAGAAGAGACCCGTGGGACTCAGATGCACTTCTGAAACCAAGCTGTCCAAGTCTTCACCATCTGATGATTAAGCCTCCCATGCCTGCCCTTGGTTTGGATGTCCCAGGAAGCTTGAGCAGGGGGGGGCGTTGGATTGCATGGGGGGAGCAGGAGCAGGGTATGTGTGTGTGCCACGTCTCCTGACAAATGCCTGGGTTTCTCACAATTAATTCTTTGTTCCTTGGGCCTAAGGCCAGGCCCCAGTGGGGCCCTCCTACTGCTCAATAACTTCCTTGCACTCTCAGTCAACACCTGCTGGCCCCATCCTCTGGCTCAATTCTGGAGTGCTTACTGTGTGCCAGGTACCATGTCGAGCACTTCACATACATTATCTCTTAATCCTCAGTATGGAAATGTAAGCATAGCTCCAGGCCTCCCAATTTTACGTGGAAGGAGAAACCAAGGTTTAGAGAAACCAGAACACTTGTCCATGGTCTCACAGCCAGTATATGGCTGACCGAGAACTCCACCCCGGGTCCTTCTGGCACCAAAGCCCAGAGATTGAAGCACTACGCCCATACAGACCCCTTAGTCCACAGGAGAAATAGAGGCCATGGGTGTGTATCTCCAGAACACTACTAAAAATTCCTCTCCTTCTTGAAGCACCCTGAGCCAGGATCAGGGCTTCACATCTATGCTTCACAACACCTCAATAAAGCAGAGGCTTTGGAAAGTTATCTCACTTGGCGCATGTCAACCTGGTGAAAAGCAGAGCCCCTTGAGTTTGAGTCAGCTGGGGCACTGGCCCAGTCTCCTCCCCTTCCCTCCACACCGCACTTAACTTGCTCTGGCCTTCAGTCTATGCACTTTCTTTTAAGTTCTTATTTTAATTCCAGTTAGTTAACATGCAGTGTTGTATTACTTTACAGGTGTACAATACAGAGAGCATGCCTTTCTTGTTCATTCCAAGAGCACTTCCTCAACCCATGCTCCAGCCCTTCTTAAACGCACCAGTCTCTCTCTCTCAGGGACATGAAAGCTCCAATCTCACCTCTCCACTGGCTCCTTCCATCAAGCTCCTATCTCACTGTTACTGGGAACATCCTGTCCACCCTGCTCTTCCCTTCCTCAAGCTAACAACCTCTGCTGCTTTTCCTTTGATTCAATCTTTAAATGCAGCACAAAAGAAAATGAATAAACATTTATTGGGCCTCCTATAAGCAAAACACTTACAAATATTATCACTTCTCACAACCATGCACATAAATTATCCCTATTTTGCAGATGAGGAAACTGAGGCTCAGACATTCTATAACTTGCAGAGATCTCAACCAATTAACAGGCAGGAGTCACCTGACCCTAAGGTCTGTGTAGTACCTACTACGCTACCCTCTTCACAGACACTGCTTTCCTAAATGTGTTCATATCTTCCTCATAGCCAACTCCAAGGGACCCTTCTCAGTCCTCATTTGACTGGTCGGTCCTTGCACCTCTGCTGCTCACTTCAATACTGCCCTCCGGTCTCTGACCTCTTTTAGTACCTCTCTTGCATGTGCTTGTTCGCCTGGGAACAGCACTTAGTCTTTTCAATCTACACTGTCCCTAGCAATCTCAAGCCCTACCTCCCTCCTGATTTCAGACCCATAATAGACTGGATGTTTTACAGAAACTTCAAATTCAACAGATCCCAAGAGAGTTCATTTCCTGTGAGCCACCCCCCTCCCCTCCCTTACCCCCCCACCCCCACCCCTCATGGATCTCCCAGACCCAATCTTCTGGCTTCCAGCTGTTCCAAGTCCAAGGCTCTCTGTATTATCCTATGAGGTGAGAGGTGCCCTCACAGCCTTCCAGGCTGGTGGATGACCACAGGGACTCCTGAGCTCCTC